GATATCAATTTATTAATATTAGATTTTTAAGGATATGGGATGAAAGAATAAACAAGAGAGGTATATTACTTATTAGCGATTTTAAGATCATCTTGCATGAATAATTTATTTACAAATGGACATGTTAAATGTCAGAATTAATATTAAATAGTTATCGTCAATCCAAAACTTATCGAGATAATTATTAAAACATAAGAAAATCCCTACATATTTAATAGATTCATATATAAAATAATATCAGTATTAAGTATACTAATACGTTTTTATGAATCAACTATCAGTTAATATATTATTATTTAAATAAATTATATATGTGAAAAATATAACATAATAAAAAAATCAATGTCATATATATAAATTTAATATTTAAAAAAATCATAACTATAATATTTAAAAATATGATTTTTATTATCTTTATAACTAAAGTTTTTATAGATATCGAAGAAAATAAAGATTGATAGTGAAGACAATCAGTACAAATCGGTGACATCAAATCTATATAACCCCTATATAATGACATTCCTATTCATTCACTATTTTATTTCTTTATACAAATAATATATATTAGTTTTATAATAATTAATTTAAAAGATATATTTTTTCTATATCAAATAAATAATATATATCAATTTTTAATACATTCATATCAATAAATTTTACAAACAAAATAAATAAAAAATATTTTATACGAATAAATGTATATCATCAAAAGTTTGATATAAGGTATATAGATTTAATCATTTTTAAAACCAACCACAAATACAATATTTGATAATATCATTTTTTTAGTAACTTATGACAAATAAATTTCATATAGATCGAAAAAAATAGAGAATCAAAGAACAAATCATTAACATAAAAATTATGTCTACAAAATTATAGATCCATTTTTACTATATAGTGAACAATAATAATTTTATAATATTTAAATTTTATCGATAAAACTAACCAATATTAAATAAATAATTTATATTATCTTATAATATTCATAATAAACAAAATTAATAAAAAAAATATATCAATACATATATAAATAATAACCCGCGCATCGCGCGAGTCTCTTCTAGTCTATATATATAATAATAAGGTTTAAAGGTTTGTGGTGAAGCCATCTCATCTCCATGTCATTATCTATGTGGCATTTGTTTTATTTTTTTCCATTCACACCTAATTATGTTCCACACATAAATGAATAGTTATACAAGTGATTAATTTACCATTATACAACAAATTAATTATCACGACCGAATAGCTTCCACCAACCTATATATGTATATAACTGTGTAGTTATTCTATATTAAATGGGATCTAATGCTGAAACAATTATAACAATCAAACCTAATGATAAAATTATATAAATAACATTAATTATAATAATTATTGAAATGTTTACGTTTTTTTGGTTCACTTTCGTTTATCTGTGTTTTAAGAGGTAACGGACAAATCATTAACTCACCACTACACCCAAGTTAATGCCATGATAACTTGACGCTACAGAGTAAGTTTATTACCTCTTTTTATAAACTCTCATTTTTTAATCAATCATTCACAAGCAAATAACGACCATATCTCTATTACGTATAAACACATGTCCCTCCAATTAAACAGTTCGATGGCAACTAACGAAGGCGCATTGGATATACGTGGTGTTGATGGTCTTTCGACATACGTGTCGTTTGGTGATCTACAAGTGGGCCGTAAAATGCAACGAATTGTCGGTCGACTATTACGCTTCTGAAAAGCACGAAACTTCAAGAAAAACAATGAACTCATGGGTATTGATTTTTTGCTAATCGATGAAAAGGTAAAAAAAGCCATGATATTTCGGCTTTAAAATATTTTATGTTTACTATCTACCATTTATTTTTTCCATTCCTAGTATTTAATCCCTCCCATTTTGCGGTCTATTCTTATACAAGGATCCATTAGTAAACAACGTTTGGACAACTACATGGATCATCACTGATTTTGAGGTGGTTAGAGCTAACACACATTTTAAGCTCACATTTTAATGCTAACCGGACCAATAAAACCATGATCTGTAGGAGCTTTGACAGAAAACCGATAGGAAAGATAAGAATTTCTATTGGAGGTTTTGTAAAAACAAATATGAGCATACCTTCAAAAACATGTCAATGGTACGTAAACTCTGTCGTGTGAAGTTAGTCGGGAAATTTGAAACCTTTTCGGCGATAGCGAGGAACTTAGAAAGCGAGAGACGGAAAACATGACCTAGCCACGGGCGAATTCGGATCCCTCGTGATTTCAGCCAAGTATCCATCAACTTATTCACCGGAACTCTCGATTGAAACCCACCACTCTCATTTTCCTTGAAACTATTTTTGAAACAACCAAACTCGTTTCTTTTCTAGGGTTGTATCATGAACTGATCGATCATGCTCCGAACGATATCCACATCCTATTGTTTTAGATCCGTATGACGCTCTGATCAAGCGATAAGCCATTGTCGGTTTTTCGAGATTGTGCCCGATTCTCCTCGTGAAGGTATGGTTCCATGGAAACCATGTAAGTTATTTTTTTGTTCGGTACCACGTAAGCTAATTTAAATACCAATGCATGATAAGATAATAATACTAATTAGGAAAAAGAATAAATGTGCTTAGTAATGGGCTAATCAACAACACGTTCTAGAGTTTTATACGTTTTTTTTTGTTTAATGTTTGTTTTATATAGTGTATTTACTAAATATATGAACGCATGTTAAGAAACGTAAAATAATATTAATTAAAAAAATAAATGTGAGTAGTAGTGGCTAGTAAATGTCACGTTTCAAAGTCTTACCGTTATTGTGTTAAAAGTTTTTTTAAATTTTTTTTTTGATTAAATGTGAGTGTTGTATTAACTTCAAACCAAAATCCGGTATTTACATCCTGTCATGTGACAGTTTTACAAAATAAAACAAGATTCCCATGCAGAAATGGTACAAAATATCTCTCTGGATACTAAACCGAGCCTAATTTGTTAACGCATACCATTCTTGGAGGAGGAGATTATTTGAGCCTGGCTTTGTCGTCTGCAAGGAGAATAGGATTGCGCGCATCATCTTGTCGATGTGGAGAATGGTCTGGTGGCATGTTCTCGCCTCTGCTGTGTGAGTCCTCATGTTCCTCTCCCGCCAAATTTCATATACAGTGGCCTGCATAAGAAGTTTCTGAATCGTCTTTATCCCTTCCATCCCTTCGCCTTCATTATGTTGTATCCAACTCAAACAACCATTCAGATCCGGTGGTGATGGACTGTGGCATTTCGTAGCTAATTTGTCCCATATTGTTCTGCTATAGATACATGAGAAGAAGAGATGGGTATGTGTCTCCCCCGAATTAGAACAAAGGATGCATCGGTTGGCTATGCTAAGACCCCAAGATTGTTGTCGATCTAGTGTAGGCAAGCGTTCCTGCACTACCTGCCATGCCAGAAAAGCATGACGTGGGATAGCTTCGGGAAACCAAATAATGGAGCTCCATGGTACTCGAGGGACTCGCCTTCGGATTATGTTCCATGTCTTCTTGGAGCTGAATGTCCTCCTAAAATCACCTTCCTTGCTCTTTCAAAGCGTGATGTCTGGTCCTAAGTCATCACGAGGAGTTTCCGTGTTCAAAAGGGTCGCGTGTAATGTCTGTACAGAATCTGTTCGTGCTCCCGGCAGCCTCCAGTTACCATCGGTGACCGCATCCTTAACCTTCGCTGTACGAGGTATGCAGAGAAGTCTCGGCCCATAATCGCCTATAGCTTCGATTAGTGGACCTAGGTTAAGCCAATTGTCAAACCAGAAATTTGCAGATTGGCCATCCCCAATTTCTGTCTTAACAAAAGCTTTAACCTGATCCTTCATCTTCAACAATTTCTTTAAATTCCAAGAAGCTGTCGATGAGTAAGTGCAGTCCCAATAACAACGGTTTCTAAAAATTTGCTTTGGGTGTAGAAGTTTTTATACACCAAATAATATAATATGATATTTTTTAGATAAATAAAGATAAATATAAGTAAATAAAATTCTTAATAATATGTAAAATTAAGATCAAGATGATTTTTATGTAATAAACATGATATTTTTTAGATTATTGTTATTAATATTTGTTTAATATAATTGTCATATTCAATGAAAAATATAAATTAAATGTTCTAATTATAAATACCTAATGAATTTTTTATGAACCAATAGAAATGGAAAAAACTACTACATAGATGATGAGGTGGCTTCACCAGAATCCTTTAAACTCCTTTATTAATATATATATAGATCTATCAATTGATTTCTCTATTAAGTCAAATATAATATTAAATATATAATAAATTTATGAATATATTTTTTTATCTAGTTCAGTAATTATAATGATATATTTTATAAGTTTGAGAATAAATATATTAAGCCAAAAGTTTAGGAATTTATTTGTTATAACATTATTATTCGGGTACAAAAAAATAATAATATTAAGTATCTTAAAAAAGAAATGGATTTTTCAAAACATTTACAAATCACTTAAGAGACGCACAAATTAAAATATTTTTCATAATTTATAGTTGATTTTAAAATTTCAAAATTCTCACAAAAACTATATAAAAGACACCGTCATAAACTCATTACAAACATTGCTGTTTCCGTGGATCCACTTGTAGCCACGAACGTAAAACTCTTACACATATGATTCATCACTCGAGTTCATGTTTCATCATTGCGAGTCATAATAAATCCTTTGGAATCCACTACAGGTTGCAGTGGAGGCCATATGGAAGGAACGCAATCAACGGTTATTTCGCAACCGATCTAATACGGTGGCGATTACTTGTCTTAAGATTGATAGACGCATAAGGAATATTTTCTTGACTGCTGCTGGCCGATGTCGGATCACAACTTCATCTCCTCTCCAAGATTGGTATTATCTCGAGATTATCTCCCGCTAAATCGTCTACCAAGTTAAATCTTTGTATACCCAATTATGAGTCTTTTGTATACCACTTGTCATGGGTCACTTATTCTGTTTTCGAACAAAAACTGATCTGTAAAGTTTTGATATAATTAATACGATTCACATTTTAATAAAAAAAAAAACTTGTCACTCATCTTCTGTTACCCCTTCTTGAAGAGACACCAATTGCTTATAAAACCCATCAGATTTTGCTATAAGCTCCCTGTGACTGCCCTTCTCAACCACTCTTCCCTTCTTCAGAACCGCTATTACCTCTGCCTTCTTTATCGTCGACAATCTATGAGCCACGATGACCGTTGTCCGGCCCTTCATTAGCTTATCGAGAGCTTCCTTGACCGCCTTTTCCGAGCCACTGTCCAATGCGCTTGTCGCCTCGTCCAGGAGAAGCACCGAAGGGTCCTTCAGAACCGCTGTCGACAGTTCTGACCTCCCGATAGCTGCACTCCCTTGTCGCCCACATGGGTCTTATACCCGTCTGGCATTCTGATTATAAACTCGTGGGCGTTTGCTGCTTTCGCTACCTCTATGATTTCTGCCTCCGTGGCTTTCTTGTTTCCGTACTTGATATTCTCGTAGATGGTTGTGGAGAATAGTGCAGGTTCTTGCTGGACTAAGGCTAGTTTCTTGCGCAAGGAGCGGAGGTTCAGGGTTTGTATGTCGTGCCCATCTATGCAGACCTTGCCGGTGTTTGGATCATAGAATCTCATTATTAATGAGATGATTGTGCTCTTCCCTGAAAACTTATCGAGATAATTATTAAAACATAAGAAAATCCCTACATATTTAATAGATTCATATATAAAATAATATCAGTATTAAGTATACTAATACAGAATGATGATATCAGGTCTTGCAGGGTACGAGAAGCTCACGTTTCTCAGTTCTAGGTCTCCTTTAATCTGAGAGACAGGGATTGAGTCCGGTTTATCTGGCAGAATTGCAGAATCTCGGTGTAGAATCCTGAAAACCGACACGAGTGCTTGTGTGCCCTTGACTATATCTGGCGTGAGTGCAAGCGTTTCCGCTACTGCATAAGATGTGATGACTAGCACCATGAAAGATTTGATGCTATCAGCAAAATTTGCTTCCTTATGGTTGATCACAACTGAGATGTACCAGAGGCCAAGCGCAAAGGAAGAAAATGCTAGAAACTGAGAGAACCCGTATGCAAATCCAGAAATGTGGCCTCTGAAAAAGGTTTGAGAGTTTGGTTTGCTCAGCTCGTAGGTAAACTGTGTCGAGATCTGTTTGTCCGCTCCAAACGCTGCAACTGTCCGTATATTGGTAACCGCTTCACGCGCCACAGTAGTTGCTCTAGAGTATGCTGTCGTGTAGTCTCCTCCAAATCCTTTCAGAAACATTTGCTGTAACATTTTGAGCAAAGTCATTATCTACATCTTCAAAATCAAAATCAGAAATCACGATTTTACCTCGGCGACAAAGGAGAGAATGATAAGAGGAAAACAAGCTGTTACAACTGCTGCGACACGCCAGTTATAAATGAAGGCGAGGACAAATGCAGTGATTGTAAGGGATAAGTTCTGGACTATTGTGGAAAGGCGTTCTGCGAGACAACTTCTCACCAAAGTTGCATCAGCTGCTAAGATTGAGGTCAGGGAGCCAGTGTTGTTCTCATCCAAATCGAACCAACCGATCTCATTGGAAAGAATTGCTGCACATTTTTGGATATGTAAGCTCATGCATTTAGTAGTGTCTCCAACATTTTGAAATTGTGACATGGAAACATACAAGTATTTTACCTGAGAACAACGATAAGCGAACCCGGGCCGTGAGTCGTTCTCCCATCAAGGTATAGAAATAATGATGCAAGAGGTAGATAGGCACGGCGAGAAATCCCATTCCAATGAATATAAAAGCCACCCTTTCAACATCATGTTTTATCACATGAGGAAAAGGTGAGTAAAACGCGGTCAAGGCATATGTGATTCCCATGGAAAACAGAGGAGTTTGGGCCCCAGTGAAAACGGCACCAATCGAGCCAAGTAATGCGTAAGGCCATTCCGGGGCATTCAACTTCATCAGTTCCCAAATCATCGAAGACGAGCTCAAGTCTTCGTGGCACTGATCTTGTTTTGTTGTTTCCATGTCTTCCCTGAAGCTGGTGGCTCCTCGGAAGCTTGAACTCCTCCTAGAGCTAGAAACTCTTTGTGAAATCGAAGAACAAACACGAGAGATACTGTCTTCAGACAATATTGATCTCGGGTTTTCAAAAGTTTCTGTTGCTTGTAAATTAACAAGAGTGGCATACTCTCCTCCTTTGGATATTAATTCACAATGGCTCCCGCTTTCGGCGATTTTGCCATATTTCAGTACAACGATTGTGTCAACGTCTCGTATGGTGGATAATCTGTGTGCGACGACAATGGTGGTTCTGTCTTCCATTATTCTTTCTAGTGCATGTTGAACAATTTGCTCTGATTCTGCATCGATTGCGCTTGTGGCTTCATCCAAGAGCAAGATCTTGGGATTTCTTACAACTGCCCGGGCAATAGCAATTCGTTGTTTTTGTCCTCCTGAGAGCTGAGTCCCTCCTTCTCCAACCTGTGAGCATGGTTTTGAAAATTCAATAAACGAAAACCGGAAGAAGATTGTGCAATTTCAGGGATCTTACTTGAGTATTATAGCCTTCAGGCAATGCTCGAATGAAAGAATCTGCATTTGCAACTTTAGCCGCTCCTATGATCTGATTCATATCTGCATCTTCTTTGCCGAAGAGAATATTGGCCGCTATGGTTGTGCCAAATAATGTAGGTTCTTGACTTACTATTCCCATTTGTTCTCTCAACCATTTCAGGTTTAGAGCCTTGATATCATGCCCGTCCAAGATTATTTGTCCTGGCATATAAAAAATTGAAATATGGATGGGTTTTATCTGCAATGTGATGATAGTTCGGTAGGAGCAAAGAAGATACCTGAGTTGGGCTCATAGAAACGTTGAACCATGGATATGATTGTACTCTTCCCGGAGCCACTTGGACCAACGAATGCAAAAGTCTTTCCCGAATGTATAGTAAAGCTGAGATTCTCGAAAACCTCCTTAGGCCTTGAGGGGTATGTAAAAGAAACTTGTCGGAACTCAATCTGCCCTACTACTTTTTGTAAAGTAGTTCCATCATTCAATCCCTCGAAACTTTCGGGGTTCCTATCAATCATACTAAAGATATTCGAAGCAGCCACCCGACCTTTGCCAATGGCAGAAAAGCTTGGAGTAGCCTGACCCAGAGAGCTGCAAACATCGAAAGATTCTATCATCGACATGTAAAGTATAATTATGCAGGAAAACGCTGCAAGAAACGAAAAATTCGTGGTTTTTCAAACTTACAATCCACTGAAAATGACATTAAGGATCGTTGTGAAGGCCTTGGCTCCATTACATTTCCCGTGTCTGACCAGCAGGCTTGCATACCATAAAAGTAATGCCCAAGCACATAAGAGTAGAGCATATGTGGATCCAATGCCGAGGCCTTTCACTAGACCGCTCCTTTTCCCCAGTTTTAGAGCTTTCTTGAGTGAATTTGAGTATGATTCCACAGCATTTTCTTCTCCCACAAATGCATATACAGTTCTAACCTGGGATATAACCTGATTCACAATGCATATGAAGTTCAGAGAAACCTTCGAAATCACCGATGTTATCGACTCAACCCAATTCAATATCGCATTTCGAAGAACCTAAACAAATGCTTCAGAATCGGTTTGGGACTTAAACCGAAGTAGTTTCAATTAACATCCAGTTATATTCACCAAGAAACACTGTGTGTTTACCTCTTCTGCAACTTTTCCTCCGTCAGCATAAGCAGCCTCGCTTTTCTCAGATATCGTCGACATGATTATGGCATACGATCCTCCTGCGATGGCTATTAGCGGAACCACCGCCAACGTGAGCAGTGTAATTTGCCATACCGAGAAAAATCCAATGGCAAATCCGACAAGGAACTGAAACAGGTACCGCAATGCGTGGCCTGTCTGAAACCAACATAATGAAAAAAGAAACAAAAACACTCAGTGGTATTTCATCGAACACCTTCTGATCTTATACAAAATTCAACGCAAAACTCACAGAAAGTAAAACCCTTTACTTAGAAAGATGGAAACTCGAATCTTATAGTTCATATCTCTATGCAGATATATACAGAGACATATACACGTAAACACTGCTAACACACACATGTACATATATACAGGGTACCTTCTGGAATTTACAAAATTCAGCAGAAAAATTCACAGAAAGTAAAACAATTTACTGGAGAGAGTGGAAACTAGAATTTCACCGTTCACATATCTACGCACACAACCTATATACGAAAACAAATGCTTGCGTGTGTGTACGTATACACGCATATGTGCATAGTACCTTGTCTCCAATGGCGTCTTGGACCAAGATTGCATCGCTTGAGATGTGAAAAATCAGATTGGAATCTCTAACTTCCGTGTCAAAGAAAGCGATATCTCTTCTTAAGATCGAATTCAGATAATTTATACGCAAACGTGCTGTTTGTCTCTCCCCTGTTTGCATCCAACATGCAACTCCTGCCAAACCCAGGTTCAACGCTTTAAACCAAACTAGAAACAGACCAGACTGGCTGGACATAATTGAACATTAAAAAAATTAAAACAAAAGAAAAAAAATGGAAATAGTGATAAAGGGGAAGACAAAAATAGAACAGAATATATGTTAAGTTCAAGCTTAAACCAAACTCAGATAGTTTCAGTACGATATAAAGTGTGTATTTCGTCAAGTTTAAATTATATTATAAAATCATATGGTTAATTCTGATTTCAATATTAGTCTAGATCCAGTTATCGAAAAAAAATATTTAAGTTTTTTTATAACCGAGTATCTTGAACAGAAACGCAGTCAAATGCTGGAGCCAAGAACAAACAGATTGATTGGAATTACACTTTTTTCTCCAACTTGATATTCAAACTCGGGAAGAAATAATTATTTTACGTCTTCCATCACGAGGTGAGTTATCAAAATTGAGTAAAAAAGGTTGAAGTTTAACAAGTTTAAGTTTCTATTTTTTCAATTTTCAATCGAGCATAACATCTAACCGAGCTGTGATCCAACTCAGCCAGAAACGGACAATACGGAAGCTAATCGGAGGACAAACATTAAATAAAAAAGAAAGGAAAAAAAAAAAGAAAACGGTGATCAAATAAAGGAAAACTCGTATCAAACGTGGAAGACAAGAACAACTTCCCCAAAAAAACGTGGAAGACAAGAACAAGACAGAACATATATCACGTCAAGTTTAATATGTTAAAGTTCTTGTTTGTAGCCATTTCCTATGGATCACAACATTTTAAACCAAACTGAACTGAGAGAGCGAAAAACGTAAAGGCCAAAACCACAACAGGATAGACGAGAAAGAAAAAAAGGATATTTCCCATCCCAAATCCTCTAAAATATTTTTTTATAAAAAACAGATCATATTAGACCGAACCAAAGCTCCATATATTCTGGTTGGTATATAAAAAGGTACGAGTATGGAAATCATGTAAAGAAGAAAAAAATAACATCTTGATCCACAACCAAATCAAACCAAACCACCGACGTAGCGATAGAACGTACCGACCCAGGAGGATACGAGATTGGCCAAACCCAAGTAAACCGCGTTTAATGCAGTCTGTGAAAGGCCAAGATTCGGAATGTTAATAACAACAGCGGAACCAAAATGAAATGATTAGGTTTTGGCGAATTTGCAGTAACAAAGCACGAACCTGAGACACACGAGAAGACATGGACCCAGGATTTGCATAGAGAGTTCCCAAGGCATCCAGCATTCTCCCGAACAAGATAAAGAACACAGGAAGTGTGGCGCCATGGATAGCTGCGCCTAAACTGCCGAAAAACATCAAAACGTAATCCAATTTATCAGCAGCGCCAAACAAACCAAACAACGACGTCGAGTTCTTCTTCTTCTTTCTTTTGTCTTTCTCCTTGTTCATTTCAATCTCGTTTTCAGAACTTGGGTTCTCCAAGCTGCCATTCCGGGTGAATTCTACAATATCCATTTTTGTTTTTGGAGAATTAAGATAAGAGAAGGTGGATTTTCTTGTGGGGAAAGTGAAGGGCAAGGGACAAAGGGCTAAGGGCAAAACCATGAATTTATAAGGGAAAAAGGATGAAGAAATTTCCTTCCAATTAAATGCAAAGTGCACCTAACAAAAGCATCTTTCTAACTGTCTTTCCTTGGGTAATAATTAAGGCTTTCAAAGGATAATGCATGGGCATGCAAACACTAGTCTCTTATATCACTATGCTAATTAATTTTGATTCATATGTCTGTCGGGCAAAAACATTTGATTCATATGTACGTATGCTTTTATGATTTGAGGGTCCATGCATATATGGATTCCACATTTTTGTTGTACCATTAATGAACTGAAAAATCATTTTTTTTTCAATGTTTGCAATGCGGTTTTCCATTCTAGTTTATTGTTATGCAAATCTTGTTGGGTAAACGAAGCGACAAGAAACGGGAGATGGGAGATGAGAGGTACCCTCCGACTGATCTTTCAGGCTGTAAAGCTTGGTTGCAAGGTATTTCGGGGGAAGACAACAGATGGAGAAAGGCGCTCATCAAGATCCTGATTCAACACTCACTACATGAAATCTGGGAGATGAGGAATAATCGCATTTTTCAGAATTCCTCAGTCACTACTTAGCTGCTTAACAGGGTCGTCTAATAGCAGGTTCAAAAAGTGCGATCGCATAGGGCCCAAAAATATGTAGAGGCTCAATTAATTTTAAAAATATTAATAATATATATTATTATAGGTAATTCTTAATAATTATGAATAGAACATGTTAATAACACATCATTTTATTATTATTATTAAATAAATTAGTAGTGATTATGAGTCAGTCATTTCAACATAATATTTATTAACCATTTTAATTATATTTTAAAATTATTATTTTTTAATATATAAATTAATATATTTTAATAATCTAAAATTACGATGTGTACGGGTCCCAAAATTTTATGAGACGGCCATGTTGCTTAGAAGTCGTCTGGACCGATCTATCAGAAGTACACTATTGTCTCTACAGCAGAGTCGATACTGCGAAAGCAACATCCTACTCCGGAAGTGGTACTCTCTCACTCTTTAACGAGAAATGCAACCATAAATGTTACGCTGAGTGCTAAGTGCTAGATTATTTCCTTGCAAGGATTGTAATAGCTAAAAGCTTGTATTGTGGATCCTGGATCCTGAAACTATGTTTCACCCAATTTTCATTAATACACCCCAAATTACATTAAAAAAAATATTGTTGGGTAGGTAAGACTAGTATGATGTGTGATTGATGATCATATAGATGATCATAGGTTGGGTTCAACCCTTTAGATCATGAGTTTTTTATAAACCTATCAGTTTCGATTGGTTTACCTATTTTAAATAGTTTGTAGGCTATTGCGTGGAACCGATGGGATTACTCCCTCACGTGAAGGGTTGTGGGGGATTCCCTTTGTTATTAAAAAAATAAACATTGTTGGAGTAGACGATTGTTGTTAGTATTGCTCTGGATCCGACAAATCGAATGATCTCAAATAAGTATCTACGATTAAAAAAAATGTTTTTGTTATATGGAACACAATTTCCTTAAGTTCGATTGTTGTGCTTGTTGGAGACGACGATTTGTTGACGACACAAAGTTTTGGCAATTCCAACGATTCCAAATAAGTACCGGTAACAAAAGATTATTTTTGTCGAGGCCTGTGAAATACAGTTTCCTTAAGTTCAATTTCCGTATCACCTCTAAAGCTTCGAGGATGCAGCCAATGCCACGAGAGCCGTCAAGGATGCTTGGTTGAAGCATCAGATTGACGACATCGAGATCTCTTGTCTCATGTTGGGAAGCATGGCCCCGAATATGCAGAGGCAGTTTGAGGGGAAGTCAAACCAAACCACCGACGTAGCGATAGAACGTACCGACCCAGGAGGATACGAGATTGGCCAAACCCAAGTAAACCGCGTTTAATGCAGTCTGTGAAAGGCCAAGGTCAGCACCCACGTCCTCAACATGCGAGCTGATGTTGAGGAACTTGAGCGCATGAGAGTGACACTCGATGCTGACTTGGTTGCAGACTTGATCCTTATGTCATTGCTGAGGACTATAACCAGTTTGTGATGCAGTATCATATGCATGGGATGACTAAGAGCTTAGCCGAACTGCATGGGATGCTGAAATTGGCCGAGCAGGATATTGTGGTGCCCAAGACTGTGCTTGCTGTTGAGAACAACTCCAGCAAGAAGCGGCGGGGTAAAGCCAAAAAGAATGTGGCGAAAAAGGCAAAGGTTGCTTCTACGCCTAAGTCTAAGCCCGATAAGGGTGACTGTCATTACTGCGGAGTGTCTGGACACTGGAAGCGTAATTGTCACCTTTACTTGGAGGATCTGAAGGATAAGATGTTTGGTGAAGCTTCTGCCTCAGGTATTCATATTATAGAAGCTAACATCTGTACTATATCTTCGTGGGTATTGGATACCGGAAGTGCCTCACACGTTTGTGGAAATGTGCAGGGACTAAGAAGAAGTAGGATGCTGGCAAAGGGAGAAGCGGATCTATGCGTCGGAAATGGAGCAAGAGTTGTTGCATTGTGTGTTGGCGTTTACGATTTGCATCTTCCTTCTGGACTTGTTTTAGAATTAAGTAATTGTTACTATGTTCCTACGATTAGCAGAAACATTATTTCTATTTCTTGTCTGGATTTGGATGGTTTTCGATTTGTGATTGAGAACTCGAGTTTGATGATTTATCGAGATGATATTTACTATGGTAATGGTTATCTAGTTAATGGTTTATACGTCTTGAATGATCAGCCCTCGAACTCGACATCATCTATCTATAGCGTGAGTACTAAACGGTTTAAGCCGAACGAATTAAACCCGACCTTTCTCTGGCATTGTCGTCTAGACCATATAAACGAGAAACGCATTCAGAAGCTTCATCATGAAGGACTTCTGGATTCATTTGACTTTGAGTCTCTTGAATCTTGCGAGTCTTGTTTGATGGGCAAGATGACAAAGCATCCTTTCAAGGGGAAAGGACAGAGAGCGACAGAATAATTGGCTCTCATACATAGTGATGTATGCGGACCAATGATCTGTCCAGCTAGAGGAGGTTATCTGTATTTCGTTACGTTCACTGATGATTTCAGTCGATACGGTTATGTCTATTTAATGAGACATAAGTCTGAAACACTTGAAATGTTCAAGGCTTTCAGAAACGAAGTGCAGAACCAGCTTGGCAAGACGATCAAGACACTTCGATCCGATCGTGGTGGCGGGTACATGAGCCAAGAGTTCACTGACTATCTGGTTGATTGTGGTATTGTATCATAATTAACTCCTCATGGAACGTCACAGTGGAATGGCGTGTCTGGACGGAGGAACCGAACACTGTTAGACATGGTTCGGTCAATGATGAGTCAGACAGATCTTCCGATCTTCCGAAGCCCTTTTGGGGCTACGCTTTAGAGACCGATGCGTACCAGCTGAACAGGAGTCCAACGAAGTCGGCTGAAGTGACGCCATATGAGATATGGACGGGAAAGCGTCCCGCATTGTCGTTTGTCAGAATTTGGGGTTGCGACACTTATGTGAAGCGTCAGATGGCTGATTAGTTATCCTCCAAATCTGACAAGTGTTTATTTGTAGGCTACCCTAAGAAAACTAAGGGTTACTACTTCTACATTCCGACAGAGAACAAAGTGTTCATTGCCAGGAATGCGACTTTTATGGAGCGAGAGTTCGTCTCCAAAAGAGTCAGTGGGAGTAGGATCGAACTTGAGGAAGTTCGAGAGCAGCAAGTAGACACTGAGCCGAGTGAACAAGTTGAAGAAGTTCAACCTGTTACACTGCCCGTTGTGACTCAACCTTCGACGAGTGAACCTCGGAGATCAGGCAGGAATCGCCAAGAGCCAACGAGATATGGATTTCTCGTAACTGGGAATGAGGAACTCATGTTATTAAAACATGACGAGCCCACCACATACCCAGAGGCAATGGCGAATCCGGACTCCGAAAAATGGCGCGAGGCTATGAAGTCCGAGATGCAATCCATGTCAGACAACCAAGTATGGACTCTGGTTGATACATCTGAAGGGATAAAACCCATCGGATGCAAGTGGATCTTCAAGAAGAAGACCGACATGGATGGCAACGTGCACACGTATAAGGCACGACTTGTGGCGAAAGGATTCCGTCAGATTCATGGTATTGACTATGATGAGACGTTTTCGCCCGTAGTTATGCTGAAGTCCATCAGGATCCTACTTGCCATAGCCGCATATTACGACTATGAGATATGGCAAATGGATGTCAAGACCGCGTTCCTTAACGGGAACTTGACCGAGGATGTGTACATGACACAACCCAAAGGTTTTGTCGATCCAAGGAACCCGAGGATAGTGTGCAAGCTTCAGAGATCCATTTATGGACTAAAGCAAGCTTCAAGGAGCTGGAATCTTCGCTTTGATGAGACAATCAAAAAGTTTGGTTTCTCACAGAACCGTCAATAACATCCTGAAGTACTTGAGAAGGATTAAGGATGTGTTCTTGGTATACGGTGGGTCGGAAGACAAGCTCGCTGTAAAAGGTTACACCGATGCTAGTTTCCAGTCAGACCCGGATGACTACAGATCGCAGTCTGGCTATGTTTTCTACTCGAACGGAGGCGCTGTTAGCTGGAAGAGTTCCAAGCATGCGACCGTTACAGATTCTACTACAGAAGCTGAGTATATTGCAGCGTCGGACGCAGCAAAGGAAGCTGTTTGTATCAGGAAGTTTGTTGGAGACTTGGGTGTCATTCCTAGTACTGATAGTCCCATTGCTCTGTATTGTGACAACAATGGAGCGATCGCACAAGCGAAAGAACCCAGATCCCATCAACGATCCAAACACATACTCAGACGGTTTCACCTTATCAGGGAGATCA